ACACAAGCTGTCTTGCGCCTGACCAGTCCTGAGAACACTCAGTCTCAAGCATTCTCAAGCCCAGCTGATGACTCAGAGGGGCTTGTCCATCACTTGCTGCAGTTCCTAAGGATGATGTGTCCTGTGTCTGTGCACCTCCTTAGAATTCCATCGCTCAAAGCACATTTGTCTGGCTAGGATATCTCTGCGTTAATTACGGTTCACACAATAACCCCTACCTTTGCACCCACTTCCCAGGAATCTGCGGGCCACCATTAGCTGCTCTCTCCCCTGGTTTGGCATTTCAGTCCCCACACACAGATCCGGGAGCACCTCCACGGCATACAACCTGTACAGCGGGCTGGCCCCACACACAGAAGGATGCTGTGCTTGGCTTAGTTCTTTGCTATTGCAGAATTGAAAGGTTAAAAGGTTTTTTAACAAGGGGATCCACCCTTTCATTTTGCACTGAGCTCCACAAATTACATAGCTGGTCCTAAGAGGTGCGTTTCTGTCAAGCCCTGCCTAGACACCCAGTATGGGAGTCACTTTGATCACTTTCAATCACCATTCACGTGGCAGGGTTACTATCACAAACCTGCAAAGCTCGAGCAGCCCCCAGACAATTTTTGACATCTGATTACAGATAACCGGTTCGATCAAAAGTTAAGCTTGGCCTTGGCCATACTCGATCATTCTTTATCATCCTGCCAAGTCTGCGGATAGGCTCCTACTCCTTCAAGGCTCCTTCAAGTTTACAAACAATACCTCCTCCAAACCCTGGTTCATAAAGTTTCCCATTCTAGGAACTTAACATGTTATTCAGGATTTAACAGTTTCCTTAGCATAATTTGATTAAGCGTGTGCAGAATTGCATCAGCTGTAATAAAAGTCAAGCCCTGTAATTTCAATTATTAAACACTTGTACGAGCTCCGGTACCCAAGCAGCCGAGCGGCTGTGAACTTGAACTGCAACAGTAGCAGCTGGGATGTCCAGAAAGGAAGGAAAGGATATGAGCAAATTATGTTCTTCCTGTGACAGTTTTGAACAGCCTCAAGGTGAGTGACAAAGGGGTCTATAAACGGTGCGTTTACCTCAAGCCATCCCCTCACACAGCTTAGGCCATTCCTCACACCGCGATTGTCATTTACTGCCTGTCCACACGTGATCCTGACACAGAACTGTCACAGGCTGTGATAGACTCATCGGCACTTACTCTCCCGAGGTCTGAAATCAAAAGTATCCCTCCCCACATACCTTTCAGCGGGCATTAAAACATTTTCTTTTCCAGACTTGAAGACAGTGCAGCATCTGGGCGGATGCGTGCAGGGGGGTTGGGTGTTGTCGTGCAGAGGGAGGGAAGACAGGTGGGGGCGGGTGGTAGTGACAACTCAGCCTGCTTCACAGCTACAGATAAGACATGCCTTTTTATTTCCCTCTTGGTCTTTCTGAAGTCATTTCTAGAGACAAGGTTTCAAACATGATCTTTATTTCATTGCTGAGACCCGGGGAATATTCATTAACAGCCTCTCTCAGATTCACATTAATTTCAAGCCGACAGCATAATCCAGCCGCAACTACACCGTACACAACAGAAATCCTGGACAGGACTGGCCAGAGCCAGGCAGGGATGCATGGGGACAGGCCACCATTGTCTCATTCAGCATCCACAAGAGGCCGAACTTCCTGAAAATAGCTATTCCTCTGCCTGGGTGAAATCCACCTCGTGGTCTGTTAAACTGCTCATTCAAAGCCTTCAAAATAATAAATAAATATTACAACCGTACAGCCCTCCCTTAGGTACCAAGGCAGCATTTGTTCCACAGGTAGCTTTGACCCTCCATTCTCTTGTTCATACAATTGGGAAAACAAGTAATGAATGTCAAATCCCTCATCTAGAAATTTTTACTTCTCCACATTCAGAAACTCTGAATTTTTGTTTCTAATTCCTCTGTGGGAAATATTAGCCTATACCCGGGCACTCAGGAAATCTTGAAGACATTCCTGTTGCCCGCTCCCCACATCGAAACAGAGCCCAAGGCCCCCTTCCTCCAGCAAACTTCGGTGAACAGCCTAGCAATTTCTCCAAACAGGGAACACATTCTTTCACTCTTTCCCTTCTGAGCGCTTTAAAATTTCGACAGTTCACTATTTCATTCACTTACTTACCAAGCGTTTATCAAGGACTCACTATGCCGTGGACACTGAAGGGTACAGGATTTGCCCCAGTCCCTGCCTGCAAAGGTGCCCACGGGTCAGTCTGAATGAGGCCTTTGAGTGCCTCTGAGCTCCCTGAAATTCAAGCACCCAGCCAGTGCCACTGCCTTGTTCCAAACTCTTATTTGTTGACTAGATGCACCAGGTAGACTACATTTTATAAATAGAGCTTTCTAATTAACAAAGGCATTCCAAAGTCAAAGGGGGCAGTCAGGCGTGCTATCAGCTGAGCAGAATTTGAAAATAAAAATCACTCAGATAACCTGCTCTGAAGAGTATTTCCTCCTGCTGATAGACATTCTGCCAAGCTGGGACATGGGAAAGCATCGCCTTTACGGCTGCTGCCTCAGAAACGGTCACAGTCTCGGGTGCAGTTTGCCGGGGCCCAGGTCTGCTTGCACTGGGAGCTGACAGGAGCTTAGGAACGCCAAAAAACCTTCTCCCCTTATCCGACCCGTGGAAGCTGAATGTCACTGATAGGACTGTCTCGGCTGTTGACGGTAACTACACCTGTCTTGCTTTCCTAGAATGCAGCTAGGTACTCATCTCCAGGAGCCACAATTCATCTTTTCCAATTACAGAGCCGCAGAGTGGAGAGCAAGCATCTGCTACAAACAAGGGTATTGGGCAGAAACCCCGTTCCAACACCACCAGGGGACAAATGGTGTTGATGCTTAAAATTTCTTCTGAACGGAGGCCGCGAGTGCTCTGCCGGCTGCCAGGGCCCCACGTGGCATCCAGGGTTTTTTTGGGTTTTTTTGTGTGTGTTTTTTTTTTTTAGATACAAGATCCAAACACATCGAAATTCTACTTTAACACCCAGTCCTTAGATATACTGAGAGAAGAATGAATTCCACTGTTTAAAAAATCCTTCACTCAAAAACGAAGCATGAATTTTACTGTGATCAAGTGATAAGAGCTGATTCTAACGCCACATGAAATTTGTTTTTCCGTGGTTTTTTATTCAGAATGGTTGCCTTTTAATGATGCGGTCTTGATTTTCTGTTAAACCTGTTTCACCTATAGTTGTCCAACATTAATATTTATTTTGTTCACTTAATTTTAGTATTCTTCAATGAAAGCTATTGCAAATCTTCTGTTGCTGCCGATGGTAATTGGGCAGAGGCGCTACCGTGAAAATAGCATAGAAAACATGATCCATGTATCATAGCTGTCGTCTGATTTAAACAACACAATACTACAAATTGTTTTAGGAAATTAAGAACTAGTCATTCTAGAGTATGTTAGAAAATCCACTGCTAAACACAACTCTGTTTTTCTAACTTCTGTGCTTCTTTATCTTGAACTCTCAACAGTGTAGTTAGATTTCACATTGTAATGAAAATTATACTTAAGAATCACCTTGTCTTAAAATCTTTCCCATGTACATATTATTTTTCATCATATTTTCCTTCAGATCCCCCGCGTTTAGCCAACACAGCTTGGCTTGCAGAGATTTCACAATAAATTATAGTAAAATAAAGTCATGATAATCTCAAACTCGCACCATCTCTAATGAAATATATAACTACACTGTCTCTCATTCCTTACTTAGGGTTTAAAACTTCGTACTGTAATACAGAATGCTTCAGTCGAAATCTCAGGACAGCAGCACACCATCACCATTGTAGGAAAACTGGCATGGTTTTCTCCCTGGAAAATACCAAATCTCAAAATCCAACACACTTACTCATAATTCATTTTCATTTCCTCTTTCCCAGAATTCATTTTCGTATCTAAAAGGAGCTCTTGACTGAAGCCTTATGCTGTCTGCAACATGTTATAGCTTCTTTGCAATTTTACTTTTAGGAAAACAGTCAGGAAAAGTAATGCACCCTCGTGGGCATCTCACGTAAGCCATGACAAATTCACATTCTGTTTTGCACTGATTTGAATGGGAACCAAGAAAGAAAAGGAAAAGCCTATGAGTGCCCTTATAGCTCTCAAGTGAAACTTCCCTTTTCGAATGCCTCCATTTACTGGGTCATAGGCAGAAGAACACTCCAGACACATATACTTGTTATTTTTCTAACCATAGAAGTTGCTGCTATCATCAACAATACATTCATGCTGAATTTTGTGGTCTGTGTTTTAATCCTCAGAAATTTTTTACTTATTTTTTTTTTTAAGTCCTTTTTCTGAACTAACCTCAGAACCAAAACATGTCTCTGCTTCAGGGTTCCCCAGTCTTAACTGAACAGTAATCAAAACCGAATCCTTCAAAGCCCCAAGGGCTGCTTCTTCCTTGCTGTGCTCAAAGTGGAACAGGAAAGTAGTGTGAGTTTTCCCTCCACCGCCCTGCTTGGTGTTTGCCTTTAGAATTCGAAGGTTTGTCCCCACTCCTGCACACCTGACAGGCTGTGATTTACATGTGAGAAAACTACTCCAAGGTTCTTATCAAGGAGTCAGAAGCTGTTCCCACCCATCCTAGCAGTTTTCTAGGAAACAGAATGAGGAGAGGAGGTGGGGGGAGGGGAAGCAAAGTCTTTCTGAAGCTACACAAGAGAAGTAGCACAGGTCAATCCAAAGTAATGGAGGCAAATATTAAAAAGAATATTATTTATTATTTTTTTATTAATACTCACATAGAACCTTTGCTTTTTACACAAGTCTACTTTTAGAAGAATGCCTCCTCGGTTTATCATCCAATGGAGCTCTGCGCTCCTGGACAACTTCCCCTTTCTCCACCCCCACCCCTCACAACCAAATTACTTTTACATGTTCACAGATACCACGAAAATTTTGTAAACAAGATTTAAGTTACTGGATCTTGATTTAATCAACATCCCACTTCAAAAGGGAAGGAAAGGGGAGAAAAAGGAAAGGAGAAGAGGCAGGGGAGAGGGGGTGGGGGAGCTGGTCAGAACTTTCAAGTCTTGCCTTTGCTGAGATGTGTGTATATTGTGGCTGTTCCTTGAAATTCAATGACTCAAAACATTGACAGCAAGTGCCTGTGTGGTTATTTATATTATATATCTATAATAGAATATGTGGGCTTCCTCAGTTTGGGTCTGGGCTGTTTTTGTTTAAATACACCACAGTCCTCCTGTGGGCGTCTCCACCGGGAGTCGGCTCTCCCAGGAAACGCTCTCAGAGCCGGGGCTTCCGGAGCAGGGTCTTACTGAGGTCTTTGACCTCCTCGGGGCTATTGACCCGCTCATAGCCCAGCACGGCCATGGGCTGGTAGCAAAACTCCTCCACCTGTTTGATCTGCTGGAAGGTGAGGGCCGTCCGCCAGGCGTTGGCGGCCTGCGTGGCATTCCGCGCGGACACTACGAAAGGCTTAGAGGAGGAGCCTGAGCCGCTGGTCATGTTGAGGGCAAACTGTTCCATTTCGGGGCTCACCAGCAGCCCCACAAAGTCGTACACCCTCCGTAGGGTCTTGACGGGGTCTCCCACCAGGTCCTCGTACCGCACGACCAGGTAGTGGCCTTGCAGCCAGTCAGGGGGCTGCAGGGCCGTCTGGAGTGTCTTGGCCATGCTGTTGCAGATGACCTCCATAGCGCCAAGCGCGTGGTAGTCCGCCGGGCCGCCCACGCCCTCCTTCTTGACGCCCAGCTTGTGGCCAGCGGCCTCCAGGAAGGGCATGCGGTGGGCTCGTGGGTCCCGGCTGCGCACCACCTGAAGGCTCTCTCGGATAAGCCCGTGGCGCGAGCGGATGCGTGAGCTGGCCACAGCACGAGGATCGCGCACTAGGTGGATGACCTTGAGGTCCAGGGCGGGATCGCGCAGCAGGGGCGCCAACACGGCCACGTCGAAGACACGCACGCCCTTGATGACCAGCGTGTGGTACTTGCGGCACTCCTCCTCAAAGCGTGCCAGGCGCTGCGGCGGGCACTTCTTGCACACGCGGTCATCCACCAGCCCCACGACCTCCTTGCGGTAGGCGGGGCACAGCGGCGAGGAGCACACCACCTTGTTGGTGGCTGCCCCGAAAATGCCCAGCGTGGTGAGGTTGCGCCCCCCGCTACCCGCGGGGCTGTACAGCTGGAAGACCGAGAGGTCGCAGCGATAGAGAGCGCTCAGCATGTCCCGCGCAGCCCCTTGCAGAGAAACAGCGTCCCCTGGGTACAGTTTTTGCCACACATGCCACACTGGCTCGTAGAGAAAGAACACCTCGGGGTTCTGGTTGAAGAGCTCACCGAAGAAAGATGAGCCCGAGCGCCACGTGGTGAACACATACACCAACTGCCTCTTTTCTCCGCTACCCCCGGTGCCCCGAGTGCCATTGCGAGGAGGGGCCACGGCCCCCGCTGCCCCTGCTGCTGCGGCGGCGGCTGGGGCCACCCCGACGCCTGCGGCGGCAGGAAGGCGGTACGGAGTACGAGTGTCCAAGCGGGTGTGTGCGCGGGGCGGCACAGCCGGAGGCGGCCCCGGGCGCGCCCAGCCGCCCCCAGCCGCCCCCGCCGCGGCACCCAGCGGCCCGTCGGGGCTGCATTGCTGCAGCGGCTCCTTGTGCCACTTGTAGTCCAGGAGGTTGAGCATGGTGAGCACCAGCAGCAGCGCATAGCCCGCGCACAGCACCAGCGCCTTCCTGCGAAACACCTTCATTCCGAGCGGGGACGCGGGCCAGCGACGGCCCGGGCGCCTGGGCCACGGCGGGAGCAGGGCGCGCGGCGCGGCGGCAGGCGCAGCCGGGAGCAACCGGGGGGGCGCGCCCGGGGGCAGGGCTCGCGGCGGGCTGCGGCTCATCACAGGCACAGCCGGGGCCGGCGGCGCGGCGGAGGCGGCCCTGCAGCCCAGGAGGGGGACGCAGCGGGCCGACTTCGGACGCGGAGACTGGGGCCGCGGCTCCGAGGCGGACGCGGCAGCAGCGGCGGCTGGTCCCCGACGCCCAAGGCTGGCTCTCCCATGGCAGCGGCTCCGAGAAAGACCTGCGAGGGAGAAGCGGAGTAAGCCGATGCGCCCCAATCCTCCTCCCCATCCGCCTTCTCCACCGAAGTAACGCCCACCCGCGGGTCTGCCGGGCTCCCTCCGCTCACCTGGTGCCGCGGGCGCGCCCCGGAGCCGCCCGGGATCACGCCCGGATGGTCTGTCCCGCTGTCACTCGTTCCTCGATTTCTCGCGCACTGTCTTGCCCAGTAGTCCCCTTGCCTTAGAGGGGGCCGCGGGATTCGGCAGCCCAAGCCCTGGACAGTTTCCGGGCAGCGGGCGCCCTGCGGCTCGGGAAGGGAAACTTTCACCGGGCCTGGAACACTGCTCCGCGCTCTGCTGAGCCCAGGATGCCCAGCTCCAGCGGTATCTCCGCCGCCCTCTCGAGACCACAGCTTCCTTCCTCGCTCCAGGGGGGCGAAGCCGGCTGGGGGAGGGGGTTTATACAGGACCCAGCTCCCCGCAAAGCGGCTCCGCCTTTCTCGCTCTCGGCCTCCGCGCCCGGAATCTTCCCATCTCTCTGGCAGCGGTGGATGGGGTGCAGCGCGACCCTGCAGCGGCAGCAGCTGCTTCTTCCATCACTCGGAGGATGCCCGGGCCGGCATAGCCGGCAGCGCCCGCCGTTCCGCAGCCTCCTACTGGCCCGGGAGGACCCTACACACAAAACAATCGGCCAAGGAGACGGAGTCTGCAACGCTCCCTTGCCGGCCCGCCCCCCCCCTCCCCCGCGGCACCAGCCGCTTCTGGCCAACGAGGTATCGGGGCAGAGGGAGCCCCCGCCGCTGCCGTGTGAAAGCAGCGCCCGGGAGGATGCTGCTACCCGACTCCCCCTACGCGGAGCGGCTGCAACGCGCTGGGGCCAGCCTCTGCGCGGCTGCTGCCAGCCTGCGCCGGGTTGGTGCGCGCGGCCGTCCGTCCCTGCGGCTCCTCCCCTTCGCCGCGCTGCCCTCCTCCTCCGCCCGTCCCGTGCCCGCCCCCCTCGAAGAGTCGGGCTCCAGCAGCCTCCACCGCCTTGGGGGCAGGAGATGCGGGTCTCGATTCACCGCGACGACGCTCGGGCCGCCATCTACATGACCGAGGCCGTAGCAGTCCGTCCCCAAGCGCCTGGGCGCGGAAGCGGGGTGCGGAGAGATCGGGCGCCCGGGGCTCTGAGAAACTTGGAGTCTCCTTGCGGCTGCCGGGCTTAGGCGCCCGTTTTTGCTTTCAGAGGGAGTTGGTGATAAAGTTAGGGCAGAAATCCCCAAGCGGCCGCCCACTCCTCTCTTCACGGGGGGCGTCGGCACCGCCCGCCCCTCCGGGAACCGAGGACTCACCCGGCTCCGAGGATGCCGAGCGCCGCTTGCAGGCTTTCTACTCGCGGCTCACGCGTTCCAGCTGCTCTGGGGCTTCTCCCTCAGCGAGGAAGTAATAAATCTTTCTGACCCCGGGGTCAAAGAAGACGCATCAGTTTTTGGGAGGAGTGTGCAGGCGGGGCGCCTTCCCCCACTTTACTCCACCTACGGATAGGGCAGCTTGGGGTTCACTACGCCCCCCGCAGATGCTCTCCTGGCCTCGGCTCGTAGTGATGCGTCCGCTGTGACCGAGTGCTCGGGAACTGGGCTGATGGGGGTCGGGGAGTGACTGTTGTTCCAGTTTACAGTAAAATACTTGTCTTGCTTCTTGCTTTTACAGGTAAGTTCACATGATTTGACCAAAGGAAACACAGCCGTTGGAAGTAAAAACTCATTTTGAGTTGGTTTAAGTTAAAGTTCTTTTTAAAAAGATGAAAAATCGCTCGCTCGCTCGCGCTTTCTCTCTTGCTATCAAGAGAACCAAAGGCAACTAAGCCATAGCCTCAATTGCATCCGTAAAATGGGGACACTTATAATAGCGTTTGGTAATTCAACGGTGAAGATGATTTAACCCCATTGGAGGCTGTGCCTAAGTTGCGGCGAATCGATAGGAGTCCTGAAGTTCACGGGCTGCGGGAAACAGCGCTGATCTCCTGGAGGCGTTCTGTTGCCTCCTACACATGAAGTTTTTGGAAGTTTGACAAAGTTACTACAAAATTCTATTTGTACTATTTTGGGTGCCTTCTCTCAGCCAGAGGATCCTAAATTTAAAATGTTGCCGTTTGCGCTCTTATTCCTCACTGAGTTTTAAAGAATCTTAAAAGTGCAAGGACTTCTGGGAAGTGACTTAACCCCCGCGGGTTTTCAGGAGAGAAAAATGTTCAAAGAACTTGACTTCACCCCGTTTTCCAGAAAAAAATCTACAACGCCGGGAGTAAGTTCAGATAATTATTCCTTCTGTGGTTCTGATAAGGCATAAGGATGGGGTGTTTCTATGACCCGTTTTATGCAAATGGGAGGAGGCAGAGTGGAGTTTAGGTGGCGCTTTCTCAAGTCGCAAGCGCATCACCCCTCAGAGCAGGTCCCAACATCCGTCTTCAATCCCTGTTTACAGACGAAGGTGGTAGAACTTAATTGAGTGACTTCCCACCTCTCCGTTTCTGGATCCACCTACCTCCCTCTCCCTGCTGTCTCAAAAGTCCCTTTCCCGTCTTCCCCCTATCTTCCCCCCCCCCAACACACACACACAAAATAAGTGATATTGGCTTGTTAAAAGACTGATGGAAGAAAGGGAGCTGTGGAAGCAAGAAAAATCTCAATCTTAATATTCAGCATGAGTCCAAGGAAAATAATTTCTAGTACTTTTAATTTAGTCTCTGGCTTCATGGTTACTCAGAAAGCACCATGAATTGCAATTATTTGATGTAAGACCCTTTCTTAAACAATTGTTTGCATAGAAACAATTTTGTTGCAATTTCCTAACACTTTACTAGAGTTGGCAAACTAGTAAATCCATTTGCCATACACCCCCACAGTGAGCGCTCAACTGGCATAAATTACCAGCTTCCAGCATCTCCACCCTCTCCTGGCTTGCAAATATTTTGCCAGTTTGCATGGTGTCATGATTAATTCCAAACTTTGTTACAACTAATGACATCCTAGGACTTGATACTATCTTCCTGCCCACAGTTGTTCAGAAATTCTTTTCATTTTAACCCATTTATCCTTTTTTGCATAGGAACGTCCCAGACATAGAATAAGTCACATAATAATTTCATTGGCAGGGGAGCCAGTCATGCCACTGGGCTGTCCTTCATTCAGTTTGTTGCTTAGTTCACTGCAATGCGGTCTGTGCCAGAATGTTCCTTCAGTCTTTTCTTTGGTGCCTGTGATGTGGAAAGGAACCACTATTAGAAAATTATGGTGACCTTTGCCTAATCCTGGACAAATAGGGGCCTAATATCCAGGGGTGCTGTGGGCCCAGTACCCCGCCTGTGTAGTAGGGCAGAGAAATCTTCCAAGACCTTCCTCCATAATCAGGATTGGGAAAAAATATAAGGCCGGGTTATCTGGATAGTTTCCAGCCCAGCCTGTCAGTGTCACGGGGGGCCCTGCGAGATTCACCTTTGGGAAATATATCTGCCCCTGGCAAGAAAGATTGACTCACTCAGGTTCTCAACAAATTTGCATTTTCAGTGGAGCTTAAGCACACAGAATTGGATTAATCATACCCTTGACTGAAAACATACCATCATTAGTGCAAGGATAGCCCTTTTCTATTTTATACGACTTTAAATAACATAATGAATACTCAAGAGCCCTTTACAGAGCCCAAAATCTCCAGAGATAACCATTCTACTTAATTTAGTTTAAAAATTTTAATAAGATGGGCAAGTTCAAAAAAAAAAAACAACAACAACAACCCCACACTTGCCTTAATTGTCAAAAAAAGAAATAGCCTGAATAGTCTTATGATTATTAAGGAAACGAAGCAGCCATTTAAACTCTTTCCATAAGAAAACCAACAGGCCCAGAGGGCTTTATCAGATTTTCTAACAGATTTTCAAGAGCTAAATAATTTCTATCCTACACAAACTCTTCCAGAGAACAGAAAAAGAGTGAAGACTTCCCTCCAATTCATTCTAAGGGGAAAATAACTAGGAGGGAATTTCAGAGGAGGAAATGGGTCCTTTTCCTTGCTTGATATACACATCAAACTCCTAAATAGAATACTAGCAGAGCAAATCTAAGTGAGTGTGGGAATAAAGACAAGATTGGCAAACAAAGCCTTGGAGTTTCTTCTAGCAGTATTTCCTTCCAGACATCAGGGACAAGCTAACTGGACAAAGAGATGTCCCCTGCCACAGCTAATGACACCATCTCCTCGAGTCCACCAGCCATTTCCCTGCTACCTGTATAGGGCATCCTTCTGGGTTCTGCCTGACCCCATCCATTCTCCCTTCCTTTGGGAACAGCATCTGAACAACCCCACCCCATTGAGTGTGGCTTTCGTGGGAACTTCGACCAAAGTATTCCTCTTCTCTTCCCAAGGGGCATGTATGAGACCCAAACTCAGCAACTTAATTGTTCTGTCCATGAAAGTTCCGGTCATTCATTAATTAATTCATTCATTTTTTTTAATATTTTGTTTATTTTAGAGAGAGAGTGTGAGAGAATGAAGGAAAATACGCAAGGGCAGGGAGAGGGCGAAGGGAGAAGCAGGCTACCTGCTGAGCAGGGAGCCCAAAGAGGGGCTCCTTCCCAGGACCCGGGGACCATGACCTGAGCCCAAAGCAGGCACTTAACCGACTGAGCCACCCAGACATCCCGATTCATTCATTCTTTACATATTGAGCTGGTTTTATGTGGCAGGCAATCTGAATCTTCATCAGAGAGACAGAAAAATAGAAAACAGTTGCAGCGCCCTCATCCCAACAGTGAAGCCCTAGGGAGATGCTCCATTACCCTTTCAGGGGGGCCCTGTCTTTAAACCTTTGAACTTGGAGGTTTTTTTGTTTGT